AAATCATTGCCAAAAGAACTTACTGATACCATGATGTCATACCGTCTGAACTGAAGAATAAAAAGTAAGGACATTTCCCTTAGGTTTCAACTCTGGCTCCCATTGAAATCCCCTGGGGAGCTTTAAAGAGACCAGTGTGAGTGTACCTTGCAAACCAATTAACTGAGGAGATCTTGAAACCAGCCCGAGCATTAGTGTATTCTGTAAAGCAATTGTGATTATTCGAATAGGGAATAGTCAGGAAAACTGCCCCACTAGACAGATTAAAAATAGTGTGCATGAAAGAAAACAGAATGATTCAGTGAGAATTAGCCTCTAGAGAGAGTCTCACTGCAAAGGAAGTAGAAACAGGGCCATGGACTGTTGCAGGTACCACAGGATGGGGTTAGAAATGAAAGCAATGGAAGTAAACACACTATCAAGAAAGACAGGTACAATGTAGGGGAGTTGGGAAGAATGTCAGATCTCACTATCTGCTTTCTAATGATGTATTGGAACTATTACAGAAATGCAGATTTTTAGCAGGGAATAGGTAGAGGGAAGATCTTGATACCTCATATATTAAAAAAAAATTGATGTAAAATGGATGTAACTACTGTTTCTACTGCTTACAAGTACATGTTTCTGGGTCCAGCAGAGTGGCCTAGCGGCTAAAAGTCCTCGCCTTGAAAGCGCCAGGATCTCATATGGGTGCAGGTTCTAATCCTGGCAGCCCTGCTTCCCATCCAGCTCCCTGCTAGTGACTTGGGAAAGCAGTCGAGGATGGCCCAAAGTCTTGGGACCCTGCACGTGTGTGGGAGACCTGGAGAAGATTCCTGGCTCCTGGCTTTGGATCGGCGCAGACCAGCTGTTGTGGTCACTTGGGGAGTGAATCATTGCACAGAGGATCTTCCTCTCTGTATCTGACTTTGTGATAAATCTTTTTTTAAAAAAATAGCACATGTTTCCTATTCAAGTAAAACAAAGTCAGCAGGAAAACATGTTCTCTGACCTAGCCTTGTTTGTGGTTTTAACTGGAGCAACCTGGGCCTAATGTTTTGTAAAGATTGCTAGGCAAAGATCATCTAGGAATATGTGATTATCAAACTAAATTCTACCGGTTCATATCACCAAATTTCTACTAAAACTTCTAACAATCCTGACAAAAAGAGGGGAAATAGCATATTGATTCTATATGGAAAATACAAGTGGCAATTAACGGGAAGTAGAGTGAAAAAAAAAAACAGACTTTAAAGGTAGCTGTTCCAAAAGCAGTCATGGTGTGCACGGACTTGAAACAAACACTGCGTTTGCTGTAAATACAGGCACAATTTGAAATGATTCTTAGGATATGGACAAATAGAGAATGAAGGGAAGAGCTTTCACTTTAATCAGTTTGAGCGACTGTGACATGCTGAACTCATGAGCATAACCAAAACAAAATGAAATGATCAAAAGGATCTTGAAACAGTGAAAAGCAAAGGTAAATTTCTTGGAGAGATTGGGAAAGTATTTAAGTCTTAGTGGTCAGAAGGATTTCTTAGTGTAATCCTAGCATATTTATGGGGGACACATGGAAATTCATTACATTCCTTCTCATTCAGTCATTCTAGATAGCAATGAATGCAGTTTGTGAGGAGTCTATTTATGGAAATCTGTGGTCTGTCATCTGCTCCCTTCGTGAGTATTTGCATCAGAGAATGGCTTTTGGGAGAAGACAGTATTTGCAAGTGCTGAGACTAAAAGGCATGGTTCTAGGGGATGGAAGAAGTTATGTGAGACTGTAATCCAGGGCATACGTGGGCATACCTGGGAGGGGTGTGAGTTAAAGTGGAGAGAGAAAGAACAGATCAAAAAAGCTGTCAGTATGTGCAAAAAAAAAAAAAATTAGGGTTATTCTGTAAGTAATGGATAATTGCTGAAGGGATGTTAAGGAATAAATATATGCATTTATTAAAACAAACAAACTTCCTGAGCCCATGTGGTTAAACTTGGATCAGGAAAATTAGTAAGATGGCATTTACACTGTAAAAATAAAGAGAACTCAGTGAAAGGTTGGTGTATTTAGACTGTAAAGAAGTGATTCTGAGAAATCAATGCAACTCATTGGTAAACAATACGTTGAGAATGTGAAAGGGCAAGAAGTCAACATGGTATCCAGGTGTTTAGTGTGCTGACTGAGAGGAGACAATGACCTTAGTTACAAGGAAGAATTTGGAGGAGGAACAAATTGAGGTTTATTGTCAGTGAGTTCATTCTCGCATGTGTTGAGTCTGAGGCAGTTGGTAAGATGTGCAGGTAAATTAATCCAGGGATTCTTGGCTTTAGGGTGTTCAGATTCCAATTCCAATTCAGAAGTTACCAGCAAAGAATGAATATCACTTAACATGTGAGTACATGAGATCACCAGGAAACATTGTGTAGTGTGAGATGGAAAAAAAATAGCACCAAGCCTGGAGAACAACCTGCAAGCGATGAATGAAAAAAAGAAGTACACAGGTTTACTCTAGAAAGCAGAAACCCAAGACGACAAATAGAGCCAGGTGGAAGCAGAAATTCTGGAAAGCAGAAGGAATTTCAAGCTTTTATAACAATCAGTTCTAACGTATGTGGCAGAACGGGGCAAAATCAGTCAAAACTGCTGACCAGCCTTAACAGTCAAATCATGGTATTTCAATGGGACAAACCCTCACATTAACACATTAATTGATCTTCCTCTCAAAATCACTCTGTGAAGTGCATTTTGTTATTCTCCTTGTTTTACTCACAAGAAAACAACATGCACAGAGAGGTTCATTAACCTTCCCAATTTGTGTTCTGCCATCTACATTAGGCAAATAAAGTAGAGTGAGTAAAATAGCATATACTGTATAAGCTCCAACTTTAGACTTAAAAGATGATTGGTCAAAAGGCAGAGAGAGTAAGAGGTGGGAATGGAGATTTTGCTGTAGACACAGGTCAGTTGTCTAACAAAGAATAAGTTTCCCCACAAACTATGTTTTTGCCACCTTTTCACATCATTAAAAAATTGAGCAGTAAATAGAATCGTTACTGTCATATTGATGTTATTTTTGAATCAACATTCTTGAAGGGTGGAGAACAAGTGAATGTTTGTTATAATGGCACTGATTTAGTAGAAGAAAAGTAAAACGTTGAGAAGTAATGCAAGGCAGAAATTGTGGGTGTTGTATAAGTAAAGGTGGATAAGAGACAGAACAAGCAAGTGCAGAAAGGAGGCGGATGGTTGAACACAGAGACGAAGATGGTGCTGAAACAAAGATTATCTTGACCACATAGTAAAGTGAAGCTTGAAGTTATTTTCAGAGCTCATGAAAAGGTTTTTGTGTGTATGTAGTACACTGCTTATCCTGACTGCTTTTGGTTTTCTAGAGTTTATACCTGTCATGCTAGAAAGGTGTCATTATTTAAATAGGAATTAATCTCATACACTAAAATCATCATTAGGTAGGCATAGTAAGTAACAGAAACATTGAGTCAGAATTGATGATGCCCCAGGCAAAATGCTGACTATATTCTATAAAGGATCTCCTTTAGCCCTGATTTTTAAAAAATTAAAGAAAAAAAGACATAAACAAACAAACAAACAAAGCAAAACCCTGCAAATGCCTCACTATTATCCTTGTTTAGATTTGAGGAAACATGGTGGTAGACCCAAGTCATAGAGCCTTGCCCAAGGTCACACAGCTATCAGGTAGCTAAGCCATAATGTCGACCAGACATTAAAAATCCAGTCTTGGCTTTTAAACCCCTGTACTTTTGCCCTGACCTTGCCACTTCCTTGAGAGTTCGCACAAGGTAATCATGTCCCCATGTGAATATATAAAGGCTTGACTTTAAGTTCTACTGACTATAATTATTTGAAGGTTGCTTTGTGAGAATGAATGCTGAGTGTGATTTTTCAACACAAAAGGGCTTTCCACATGTGCATACTTTGGTGTTCCAAACGTTTGTGTGCTGAAATTAAAGTGAAGAATGTCTTGATGAGCCATAGAAGTGTTCCTGGGACGGCAGCAGTGAACATAAACAGCAGTGATATTGCTTCTTTCGTCTCTTTTATGCAATTAGTTATTGTTCCGGATGCAGAGAAAGAGAAGTAAAATAATATTGTCATCATTTTAATTTTGTAGAGTTTATAATCTGTTGTGGAAGGCTAAATTAATGCGCAAGAAATAATTACTGTTATTCTAGATTTTGGAAACTAAGAAAATTCTATCTTTTTCGTTAGCTATAGTAAGCCTTTGAAAACTTGATATACTAGTTATTTACTGAGAGTACACTAGCAGTTTCTAACAAGGGTAAAACTCAACCAAAGTAGTATTAAAAAGTCTAATGTCTTACACAAGAATAGAGTTTAAAATGCTAAGGTTACATAAGAATAACATTCTAATATCAGTATCTATGCATTTAAATTATTTCTTTATTACTATTTTATGACACAAATACTGATCTTGGGCAGGTTTGATAGAGAAACTGGTTGGAAGTAGGCATTAATGTTCCTCCTCTCCATGCCTTTTGTTCTCGCTGCATTGTTCTGGAAACCAGTGAAGGAGACATTCTAGGGAATATCAGGCAAGAAAGAATTCCAAATCGAAGGGATCTCTGTATCCATTTTTTTTTTTTCCTTTACAGCTTTCTTTTTCCAAACTTAACCCAAAAGTTGTATAAGCTATATTCAAACATATCCAAATCTTTATTTAAAAGGTTGATTTACATTTGATATTAAAGGTGAAGATTCTTAGGTAACAAATTTAGTTTGAGTCTTAATCCGTTGTAATTACTTCCTGTGAACTCAAATTGGATGAAATTATACTTTGTCTCCCAACTTATTAGGTTCCTGGAATTTTTATTAAAGTGGAATTTGTACCTTTTTGGATACTTGAAAGAATGTTTCTAGGTTTTCTGGCATTTATATATTTATCTGGGTTGTGCTAGTGGCGCACTAATGGTATTGTCTTTAATTTTTTATTTTTATTAAATAAATTGTTACTTCTTTCTGATAGGCCCAGTTTGAACTTCAGGCCTTTCATATTCGGGGTGAACATGCCATGATAACAGCGAAATTAGAAGACACGATAGAAAATCTCAAACAGGAGTTGGAACACCGATGGCGAGGAGGATGTGAAGAGATGAAAGATGCTTCCGTCTCTACCGATGATGACTGCCCTCCCAAAACTTACAGGAACGTGTACATCCAGACAGACAGGGAGACCTTCCTAAAGCCCTGTGAGGCCGAGAGCAAGGCACCCAGAAGTAACCAAATAATACCCAAAAAGCTGAATATCTCCTCTTTAAGCCAGCTCTCTCCCCAAAATGAGAACAAAGACATCCAGGCACCGCTTCAGTCTGTAGAAGGCATTTCATCAAATCAGCCAAAGACATCAGTTTCCCATCCTGTATCACCCCCGCAAGCTCCCATCCCTCCACCTCCTCCCCTGCCACCTGGCCTTGATCCTTTGCCACCAGCACATCTGACATTACCTATGAGTGCTGGTCCCCCGCCACCGCCACCACCACCACCACCACCTCCTCCACCACCACCACCACCGCCTGCTCTACCTCCAAGTGCTGGGCCTCCTCCACCTCCTCCCCCGCCACCACTCCCTAACTCTCCTGCTCTGACCAATAATGGGGGGCCTCCTCCTGCTCCAGCACCCCCAGGACTTGCACCTCCACCTCCTCCTGGACTCTTTTTTGGGCTCAACTCTTCTTCCAGCCAGTATCCTCGAAAGCCAGCCATTGAGCCCAGTTGTCCCATGAAGCCGTTGTACTGGACTAGGATACAAATAAATGAGAGGAGGTAAGCTCTCCCCTGACTGGTCCTCAGCTTGTGAAGTCCAAAGTTTTTGACCATGTGATGTTTTATTCTTACTGGTTCAATGCGTGCATGATGTAACACCCATTTTCAAATGTTACACAATGAATGCCTTAAGATCAGGATGCTTGAGGGGAGGATATCTGGCTCCACCAGGTTCTATCTGTCTCCTCTACAGATTTCTTTTTTAGAAAAACAGTATTTTTAAAATCGAGGTTTTTCTCTATGATGACTGTTTCTTTTTATAGACTAAAGTCTAGGTCTAAGCTAAGCCCTTCTCTTACATCACCAGGATGAATAAGTAATTATAAATAAATAAAGACTGACTCTGCACTCTAGGTTCACTGAGCATATTTAGAATATCGTTTATAATCCAGCCTCTTGGTTTTAGATGCTATCATCAGCCCTATGACCTGGATATTTGATAGATAGATGTATTTTTCAATTTTCATTGAAAGAATGAGGAATTTCTGAGTTATCAAGTCTTCTAGTCATACGGGACACATAAAATATAAACTCTCTCTGCTTAAATTTTGGTCCAACCAATTGCTAAATTTTCTCATGTCTTTATTCGCTATTGGTTGTCAGAGAAGATGCCAATGTGTGCTTAGCTAAAGTGGAAACCATCTTCCATTTGTTTGGATTGTTAAGATGGCCCTGTAAGACAGCAAGATATGGTGACTTGAAATTTCCATAGAAAAAGGTTTGATTCTGATTTCTTCCTCCCTTCCAAGTCTGTCAAGAGGATAATGAAAGAGAAGCACTTCTTGGTTTTGAAGTTTATTTGTGATGAAAAAAAAGAATAGTTTTAAACTCATCCTCCAAATAAAGATGTGATAGTGAATTTTTCAATTCGCCTAAGATTTTGTGTAAGGAAAGTATAATACTGGGAAAAATAACATGCAAGTTGAAATTATTTTAAAACTCAAAAATAATAATTAGTGAAAAGTTGGAGAGTACCTTACAATTAACCATAGCATGAACTTAGTTGATTATGTACGTCATGTTGTCCCCTTCAGCGCATCGAAGTCAAAAGTTCCTTTGTGAACTATGCTTATATTTTAATGTTGAAACTTTAGATCTTCCTAATTGGATGATCTGGAATAGTTTTACCATTAGCTAGGAGATTAGTGTATTTCCCTTTTCTGATTCAGGAATCAGATGTTTCCAAATAAGTTAACTGCCTGAATTTTGGAGTTATGCCCTTTTATGAGTGTTCTCGAATTAGTGTGCAACCCTTTCACAGTGATGGAATGGCAGTGTGGCCTGGCAGCACACAGAATTGTTCCACGTGTGGATCTCACCAATCCACTGTCACTCCATCTTCAAGAAACTTTATGAGCAGTAAATGGCAGAGACATTCACTGCTGAGCTCCACAGAGAGGGACTTCCAGGCGATGTGGGATTTTCACCCACTCTTCAAGATGAGACAGCAATAAGCTGGAGGCAAGCGCTTTGTTCTTCAATTAGCCAGCTGTTTTGAGAAGGGAAAATTGAATGCACAGGTCTCTGCATTTCACTGTAAATTTAAGGCTCCACATTTGAGTGAAATGAGAAGTTGATAAGTAGGACATCAGGAAAGCGCTGCTTGTTGAATGTGTCACCCTTCAGCCTGAACTGGAGGTTGGAACTACCCCTCTGTGTCGCATTAAGAATAGGCCAGTGGATCCAAGATCTTTGTCTTCTCGCTCAATTAACTGTTAGCTCTGCCCCTCAAGTAAGTAACAAAATCTTAAAACCAAAGAAGACAAAACAAGACAAAAAAAAGAAGAAAGGGTCCCGGCGGGGTAGCTCAGCGGCTAAAGTCCTCACCTTGTATGTGCCGGGATCCCGTAAAGGCGCTGGTTCTAATCCCTGCAGCCTGCTACCCATCCAGCTGAATGCTGTGGTCTGGGAAAGCAGTGGAGCACAGCCTAAAGCTTTGGGACCCTGCACTCACGTGGGAGACCTGGAAGAGGCTCCCGGCTCTCGGCTTCAGCTCAGCTCAGCTCCAGCCGTTGTGGCTGCTTGGGAAGTGAATCATCAGATGGAAGATCTTCTTCTCTGTCTCTCCTCCTCTCTGTGTGTCTGACTTTGCAATAAAAATAAATAAATCTTTAAAGAAGAAGAAGAAAAAGAAAAAAAGGAAAAAATTAAACCTAGAAGACTTCTTCCAATGCTATACCCAGTCTCTTCTATTTTGGGTTCCTTAATATATGTTGTACTTTTGAACCTGGCTGCTGCTTTTCAAAAGAAAGATTTAGTCTTCTGGGCAGCCAAAAGCAAAACTACAGATTTTTAGCAAAGTGTTTAAAGAGCCTCTCAACTGCTTACCTTGCATTGTGCTACTAACTTGATTTTTTTTTTCTTCTTTGACATCTTTGGTATCTGTTTTCTAGACCAAGGGAAAAATATTTAAAGAAAAAGAAATCTCATCTGACTGCCTTTTAGATTCCTAATCGGTCTGGTCTTCTCCCTTCCACTTTGCCCTTCTTCTCTTTTGAGCTGGAACTGTTTGATGATGAGAAGAGAATAGACCACTGTGAGCAGGTCATCATGATTGCAGGCTTTCCCCAGCTCACTGAGAAGTAGCATTGCAAAATTGTTTCATGTGGTAGCGGACACATCCTTCCAGTAGAAACAATATTATAGTGCTCAACTTGACTACCAATGCAAATCTTGTATGAGTACAAATCAATGGTAACACTAATCCTGGTGGACCCAATTCAAGTGCTTGGAGCCAGGAAGGTGTGGAAGGAAAGGGATGCGTCTAAGCCAAACCTTCCTGAGGACCAGGAGCTGTGTGCTCTGAAGCTCCCTGGCTCCCCTCCCCAGGCAAGACCTGCCTGTTACCGTGCATCTAAGATTAGCACCTAATCATGTTAATGTTTGAAATCGAAAGTGAGTGGCCCAAGGCTATGGCTGTGGAAGGAACACAGGATAGACTGAACCCAAAATGTAGAAGCAAAAAGTGAAAACAACCACAACCAAAATGTCCTATTTCATAGGAAACACAGACCAGCAGCAAACTATGAACAGGCAGCTTGGAAAAGTGCAGTCAGCTGAATATGAAAATGGCTGTGTAGGAGATCCAAATATGTTTTACACTACTACACCTGGCAATAGCTGTTCACTTTTCATTGGCTAAGAGAATACATATTGAAGCATGTAAATACGAGATAATTTGGATCGGTGGTTTTGAAAAATAATATATGCATGATACCTCATTTTATGATCTATAAATGTTAGTTAATAGCATTTAAAATTAAGATGTAAGAAACCATGTTAAGAAAGTACTATTTGGGAGAAGCTTTGTTCTGACTTAAATGAGCCTGCGGATAACACTTAAAAAAATATATATTTACTTGAAAGGATTCCCAATGAAACTGTTAAATATATCTTGACACCAGAATGCTGGACTTTATACCATTCTCTATACTTACAGTGTCAGGATACACTTAAATAGTAGAATGATGGACTTGTGACTAAGCTGTTGTTACAGTATGGGGGGAAACAGTATATGAGAGGGAATGGGGAAAGGTGGGAAGGTGGAAGGGGAAATTCCTGAGCCTAAGGAACTGCATCATGAAAAATAAGAATTTTTTTAAAAAGCAACAAACAGATGGAAGGAAGATAGACAGAAGGGAAAAGGAAAGAGAGTAAGAGTAATGTTGATTTTCCATCTGCGATTCCAGATGGCCAAATGGCCCCAACAGCCAGGTCCGGGTTGCACTTATACTGTAACACAATCCTCGCTTACTCTGCAGTGTGACTCCTCTTCATCACCTGTCGGAGGTTGCCCTCATGGACATGATTTTCAACAACTCTTCTTTCTGTGCTTAAAGATTAGGGTGCCCTGTGACCTGCCAACATGATGGCATGGCAGCTAAGCCCACCAGCAGATGAAAGATATTTCTCTCTCTCTGCCATTTTTAAGAACAAGGAATCTTAAAAATGAATACCAAAAAGCACCTAGGGTGCCCTTGCTGCTTGAAGACCAAACAAAGCAAATCTCCTCAGAGCTGCTGTAGTTGAAAACACTGTGGGGGCTGACGCAATGGAAGAGTTAGGGACTTTTGTTGTTCTTATTGTTTAGGGAAATACAGGAAATGTTATAAGCCACATAATTTTTTTTTGTTTATTTGAAGGGCAGAGTGGCATGCACAGAGATGGGCAGGGATATCTTTTGTCTGCTGGCTCACTCCCTGCATAACTGGGACACACCAAAGCCAGCAGCCAATAACTCTATCTGGGTCTCCCACATGATTGGTAAAGACCCAAGTACTTGAGGCATCTTCTGCTGCTTTCTCAGGTACAATGACAGGTATTTGAGTGAGAAGAGCATCCAGAACTTAATCCAGTACTCCTAAGGGATGCTGGTGGCCTCTCAGGAGTGGCTTACTGTGCTGTGCTGCAATGCTGGACCCCAAATAAAATCTTTTTTTTTTTTTAATTGAAAAGTCAGACACAGAGAGGAGGAGAAACAGAGAGAAAGATCCCCCATCTGGTGATTCACCACCTCCCGCAAGTGACCACAACATCTGGAACCTAACCAATTTGAAGTCAGGAGCCAAGAGCCATCTCTGGGTCCCCCATGTGGGTACAGGGTCCCAATGCCCCACGCGGCCCCCAACCTCCCTTCCAGGCCACAAACAGGGAGCTGGACGAGAAGTAGAGCCACCGGAACTAGAACCGGTGTCCATATGGGATTCCACTGCATTCAAGACAAGGATTCTAGCTGCTAGGCTACCATGCAAGGGCCCAAAATCAGACCTTTTAAAATAAGCAGAATTTGTTCACATCTTAAAGATGTGGGTTTATTCAAGCTAATTCTGAAAGCTGTATTTAAAACTAGTAGATAGCATCTGAAGAGGGGATGGGTTTTTATGTAAGTACCCCCTTTGCAGTCTAGGAATTGTCCTGTTGATGGCTTAGAATTGATTCCTATATTGGCCTTTACATGATATTTGCATCCATTGTGTAAATCTGAGGGAGGAGCTAGATGAAAGCGTGAGTGACCTCCATAGTCTGAATCCCAAAATTGCTTGATTCATGAGCTTATTGCAGAGCATACTCTTAGATTATAACTTTGTTGAAGTGTGTGTGTGCTTAAAAAATATTCTAAAGTGTATTTTGAGTTGAAAAGTGCAATACAAAACATGGTTTATCAAAGATTTATGAGAGTTGTTGGCATTTTTTCCAAATTAAGTAAAAATGAATTAGAAAAAAAATAGCTTCTCATATTCTCATCTGTTTTGTTTTTGAAAGTTAATTTGTTGTTTTCTCTTTTAAGCCAAAATGCTACACCAACGTTATGGGATTCCTTAGAAGAACCTGACATTCGGGACACTAGTGAATTTGAGTATTTGTTCTCTAAAGATGCGACTCAGCAGAAGAAAAAACCTCTGTCAGAGACCTATGAGAAAAAAAACAAGGTCAAAAAGGTACTGCATGACTATAATGAGAGTTACAGTTACACACACACACAAACACACACACATGTACACCTTTGTCGTTCATCAGATTTTATTATGTGATGTTGGTTTGCTTTCCTTTTGTCATTGAAAAATGTTTTGTAAAGGTGGGTCATTATGACAAAGAAAACAAAAGAAAGAAAACCTACTCAGTATTTCAAGAAATTTGTACCTACTCTTCTGCACTTCTGAATTTTCAAAATTAAATCTAGACCTGTTTTAGCCATTAGTTATATTGAAACCAAATCTAAAAGTTCATTTGCAAAAAAAAAAAGTTCGTTTGCTATTAGTGAAAGTAATCTTCCAGCTGTTTGAAAAAATGGAAATTTTTAGTTTCATTCTTTTTAGAAAAATGTTTTTTGAGGGTTTGTTATGCTAGTTACTGTTCTAGGCCTGCATTTTCCAGTTCAATGGCAAAAAGTTTTAGATTTTTTTTTTTTTGTTTAAAGATTTATTTCTTTTTATTGCAAAGTCAGTTATACAGAGAGGAGGAAAGAGACAGAGAGGAAGATCTTCCTGTCCACTGATTCACTCCCCAAGCGGCCACAATGACCAGAGCTGTGCCGATCCCAAGCCAGGAGGCAGGAGCTTAATCTGGGTCTCCCACATGGGTGCAGGGTCCCAAAGCAAAAGGTTGTTTTAAGTCATGAAATTAAAAATCTGACTTCAATTGTCCTAGCCATTTTCCTGTTTCATTATTGTGGTTAATGGCTGCTGTGCTGGATATTGCAGATATAAAACATTTCCATGCATACTATAAGTTCTACTGGACAGCACTACCTGAACATGTGGGATGTGTTGTCCCGTAGAGCTTATAATAGCGATCAGCATAAAGAGCAAGCCAAGTGAGAGTGAGCATTTAGGAGCCTGTATTCTCCATCACAGTTTCTGGGTTCAGTTATTGATCCTGGTTTCCTCCTGATGCAAATGCTGGAAGACAACAGTTGTGGCTCAAGTAATTCACATGGTCAACTTGAAATGAGTAGCTAGTTCCAAGTTTCTATCTGGTCCAATACTGGCCATTGTAAGCATCTGGAAAGTAGACCAACAAATGTAAGTTGGTTGTGAAATTGTGTGTTTGTGTATGGGGTGGGGAAGGGCATATGTTTGCCTCTCAGGAAAAAAAAAAAAGTAAATCCCATAGTAGAGCAAGGTTAAGATCATCTGCAATTTTAAATGTATTGTTTGGACTTGACCTCGTTGAAAAGATGACTCCTAGTCGGAGTCCAAGACTTGGAAACTGAGGCTCCCCAGCTGTCTGTAAGAAAGCAAGGTTAAAGTTGTCAAGTAGTTAAGAGAGTATGACTTTTGGGGTCTGTGTCGAGGTACCAGGCCCTTCCATTCCTTGTGCCTTGGTCACCTAATCATAATGTGAGACCTTGTCTACTCACAATGCTATTGAACTGACAATTGAATGGGAATAAATGTATCACATATTGCATGGTTCCTGGAACCTAGACAGCCTTCAGAGTTAGCCTCTCACAGCCGTTCTTGTTTTTGCCATTGTTGGAGGCACTGCTTCTGTTTCTGTTTGTTGGTATTTTGATAACACCAGAGACGGTGCTGTTGATTTGCTGGGTGAGGGTAGTTGCTTTCTTCCTTCAGATTTTCTCTTCTGAAAAATGAGATTAAAAATACCTGATTTTACTTGACCCCCCAAAATGTTGTGCAAATCATTGCCCTCTCAGATTTTCTGTTCTCTATAAAATGAGATTAACAGTGCTTGAGTCTACCTGACCACCCTCCCCACGCCCCAGAATATTTGAGGAAGAGTTGGAAAACTGTTATGTCAACCAATATTGTCCATTTCTCCTTCTTAAATTGTATCATGGAATTCATCAGTATATAGCCCAAGTAATGTTATGATTTTGTATTATGAGAAGAAAATAGTCCTGATAATAAACATTGCAGCAGATCTTTTCAAAGGCTTTACATAATATACGAAACAATGTTTTTCTAATAAAACAGGACAAATTCTAGGGAGGAGGGAAAATTGATACAGTATAAAATATATTCCCATGGGTTAGATGTATAAGATAAGTGGTATGATTAAGTGTGCCTTATAGGCACACTGACTTTTCAAATATCAAATGTAGAAACAAAAGACTCCTTGCTGCATGGCAGGCAAAAGGAAACTGTCTACCTTTCCAAGTCAGTGGCAGTTTGCCTCCTCCATGGAGACTTCTGGACTCCAGGAAACTCCTGAATGATTTCTTTCACACCATCATGGTAAACTTGTGTGTCTTCTCTTTTTCTCTCCAATTGATATTGCTCCTTTTGTTCTTCCTGGACACTTAGTCATGTCTTGTTTATTTATAACATGAATTGTTTCTGTTTCGGTGAGTATTTGTTTTGAAGGATCAAAGCATTTTTTAAAATCTCTTTGTGAGCCTAATCAACAAATGGGTTCAACTCAAGCCATTAGTACTGGATGTTTTCATTTTGTTTCTTTCTGTAAGGGCGGGGACAGTGGGAGAACTACTAAACTCTTCAAGCCTTCAATGACATCACTATCACCAACATCTCCTGCCTGAGTGGAGTTCTTAGTGTAAGGGGATGTGAAAATGTGGGTCTGCTGGGTTTTGCGGTAAGATTTCTGTATGGATTTTCAGTGAAGTTATGGACCTCTCTTAGAGCTGAGGTTTTAACTTTTAAAGAAAATAATGAGCAGTTTCAATGCCAGAAATCTCCAAACTTGCCTCCTATAAGCCTTCCCTTCAAATCCTGTAACCAGATTTCCAGTTTCAAAATGGATCTTTTGATCTCTTCCAAAAATGAGGGTTTCTTTCCTCTTCCTTCTGAAATGAAAATGTGAAGTGTGTTTGAAGATTGTAAGGAGCTAAGGAGTTTGAGAATTGGAAACCCATTTAAGCTCAGTTATCAAGCAGATGGATCCCTTAGAAGCAAACAGGGGAATACTTGCCAAGTATGTACACACTAGGGATTTAGAATCCAGAAATCTGAATCTTGGCTATTGGCATTCAGTCAGCGTGGAGATGTACAGGTGAAACATCTCTGAAACCAAGCTGGTCCTTATCCCTCCTCACCTTCCACATTTGCATTTCAGAAATAATAGACTGAATTATCAAGAGCCTGCTGAACACAGATGCTTTTTCTAGCCTCAATTTTTTTTAAAATGGCATTGTAACATATTTATGTAAAGTGAACAAATATTTCTCAATACCAATTTAAGATCACAATGTTACTTCCCATCCTATGCCCCCTCCTGCCCATCTTGCCAACCACTCTCTTTTTTTTTTTAAATTTTACAATGATATATTTTCAGTTAAATCACAAGCATTGGGTTAACATTCCATTATATAAAGAATTCAATAACTATTAAGTAGTAGAAAACTCTGCTGTTTCTCAAGAGTGTAATCAAATCTCAAAATGTCAGTCTCACTCGTGCAGATTACATTTTTGTACTCTGTATTAGTGACCACAGATCAGGGAAAATACACGATCGCATTCTTTTGGGGACTGTCTTATTTCACTAAGTATAATAGATTCCACTTGCATCCATTTTGTTGCAGAAGACCTTTTTATGGCTAAGTAGTATTGCATAGTAAATATTCAGTGCTTTTTTTTAGCCCAGTCATCCATTGATTGGCATCTAAGTTAATTCCATATCAGCTGCTATATATGGAGTTGTAATATACATGTGTATACAAACATCTTTCTTATAATGTTGATTTCACTTTGTTTGGGTAAATTTCCAGAATTGTGATGGCTAGGTATTATGATGGATCTACTTTAAGGTCTCCAGATCGTCATATTGTCGTGCATAATGGTTATACTTGTATATATTCCCAACCATAATGCATTAGGCTACCTTTTCCTCCACATCCTTGCCAGCACTTTTTTGTTTGTTTGTTTTGTTCAGGTGATAGCTATTCTTACTGGCTCATTATGGATTTTTTAAAGACATATTTATTTATTTACTTGAAAAAGTTGCAGAGAAAAGAGAGAAAAATATTCCGATCACTAATTCATTTCTCAAATGGCTGCAATGGCTGGAGCTGGACCAAGAGCTGAAGCCAGGAGTGAAAGTTTTCTTCTGGTTCTCCTATGTGGCTTCAGAAGCTCAAGTACCTGAGCTGTTCTCTGCTGCTTTCCCAGACCATCATCAGGGAGCTAGACTGGAAGTGGAACAGCTAGGACACACGCCCAGCCCCCATATGGGATGCTGACACCACAGGCAGAAGCTTAATCTATTATGCCGTAACAGTGCCTCATCTCATTGTGATTTTTATTTGCATTTCCCTGATAGCTAGTGATTCTGAGCTTTTTTTTTTTTCCTCATAAGCCTGTTGGTCATTTGTATTTTTCTTTTGAAAATTGCCTGGGCCTGGTGCAATAGCTTAGTAGCTATATGCTCACCTTGCATCTGCCAGGATCCCACATGGACACCGGGTAGAGTCCTGGCAGTCCTACTTGCCATCCATCTCCCTGCTTGTGGCCTGGGAAAGTAGTAAATTGGACAGGTCTTACAAGTTCTTTCTCAGTTATGGAAGTATTCATGTATATGGGCTTTTGTGTTTTGGTATTGTATCCTGTAACTCTCTTATGAGTCTTATAGTCTTTGGGTTCTGTTAGATAAAGAATCTTGTTGTCTGCAAACAGGAATAGCCTGATGTCCTCCTTTCCAATGTTCATATCTTTGATGTCTATTTTTTTTTAACCTGATGTCTCAGGCTAAAACTTCTAAGACTATATTGAATAGTAATGGTGAGGGTGGGCATCCTTGTCTGGATCTTGGTGGAAGTGCTTGTGATTTTTCCATATTCAGTATGATTCTGGTTATAGGATTTTCATATATTGCCTTGGTTGTGTTGAGGAATGTTCCTTCTATACCCAGTTTACGTAAGGTTTTTATCAGACAAGAGACCGTGTTTTACCAAATTATTCCTCTACATCTATTGAGATAATCATGTATTTTATTCTTCAGCTTGTTAATGTTACATATCATA